TAATCCAGGAGGCTCTGATGTGTTGTCTGATGCGTCAAGTCATACAACTGGGTGTTCACAGTGGCACTTCATCACTTAATGGAAATGGCACATACAAGATTAGGCTCCAGCAGGTCCTGAGTGCATAAGTATGCCAAGATCCCTACAAATGCTGTACTCCATTCCCCTGTCTTTCTCTCTCTCTCTCAATCTACAGCTATGGCCTCATGAGTTCTTTGACTAGTTTACTGAGAAATAAAAAACTTGGGCTTGGTTAGATAATTCTTCATGGTATCTAGCACGACAGCCCTACTCTGAGATGGTCCTGAAAGTCAGTGGTGAAAGAAAAACATCCAGGTGAGCAAAAATTTGAGCAAGGCATCTGGTTATTTCTTTTGCCTGGAAAAAGAGATGCCACACTTATGAGCCTACCCCGATCCACACACAGGGGCTAATGGTTTTGATGGATGGTCAAGGACTTAAAAGGAGTCCTCTGGAAAACTGTGACAAGAAGACTGGGTAAGAGGTGTGGGCACAGACCTTTCCAGATGGGCAGTGTGAAAATACTGGTTTGCCCACATATATGCTCACCAAAGGGTGACTCACCAGAGAAAGGTTTAAAAATTAGGTGGATAGGACACATTCTGTGGATATCAATCTCCTGTGAGTCAGCCCTCTCCCCAGCCACTTCTGTCACTGAGAAGTGGGCTCATGAACAGGTATCTGTGGCAGCAGTGAGGCTTGTACACAGGCTCAGCAATGTAGACTTCCACTCACCAAGGCCAATCTGGCAAAAGTCATTGTTAAGTGCCCAGTATTCCAATGGCAGAAACCAATGGTTAATAACTAACTTGGCACAATTCCCTGGATAAGTTGAATACTTGGTATTGGGTTGATCACATCAGACCATTTTCATCAGGAAAGGGACAGTACTTTGTACACACTGGAAAAGATATTTACTCTGTGCACGGATTTGCCTTCTCTGTCTGCATGTGTCGAAACATCAGTGAATTTACAGCATGCCTCATCCACCACCATCATGTTCCATAAAGCTTTGGACCGAGAAACTCTACATGTCCTTGTAATCATTGGTTTACTCTGTTCCCCATCAATGATATAACATGGAGTGGCCATCTGAACACTCAGAGAACTAGGTAGGTGGGCTTGTGTAACATCTTTCAAGTTGTGGCATATGCTTAAAATCAGTACCCACTATTTGGTCCTGTTTCTCCCATAGTCAGAATTTATGGAGCCGGAGTCAAAGGAGTAGAAATGGGAGAGACATCTCTATTACTTTCCTGGTGATCTACTGGCAAAAATTTTGCTTCCGATTGACTCAACTTTAGGCTCTGCTGGTCTAGAGGTCTTATTCCAATATAAAGAATACTTCCACCATGAAACAAAATGATTCCACTGAACTGGAAGCTTAGACCTGGCCACTTACAGCTCCACAAGCCAATGAATCAACAGGCAAAAGAGATCACTGTACCAGCTGAGTGACTGATCCTGACTACTAATGGGAAACTGATTAACTTCTATCCAGAGTGGGTAACAAGGTGTATTTGACTGTAAGAGATCCTCTGCAGTGATTCTTATTACCCTTGTGCCCTATGATTAACTTAATGGAAAATTGTGACAATTCAATTCAGGCTGGAATGCTAATGGCCCAGATACTTCAGGAATCAATGTTTGGGTCAACCCAAAGAATCATGACAAGCTGAGGTGCTTGCTCAAAGCAAAGGTCAATGGAGTATGTAGAAGAGGTTCACTATAAATACCAGCTATACCCATGTGATCAATTGCAGAAATAAGTACTGTAACAGTTATTTGTACTTCTCCCTTATTTTGAAATGGCAGTTTGTTTATATATTGACCAAATGTTTTTCTTTACCTTTCTCACCCCTTTATCAATTAACATCAGGTATATTAACAGTAGTTACTATTTAATTATGTCAATATTTAAATTACAGGCTATCAGTGGATGAGTATGAGTCAGGTAGAAAACTGAACATCACCCAAAGACAGAAAACAACAAACACAACTTTGTTCCCTCTCCTGAGGAAAGCAGAAACATGTTTTTGGTTGTCTGCAGGATAGTTGTTCATGTTAGGTAAAAGCATGACTTTGTTTTTACTTGGAGATTATGTATGGCTTGGCGTTGTTTATAGGCTCAATTTGACAAGAGATGGACTGATGTGGAACTGTAATGTGTGAAGAAGGTTAGGTGAAACTACATTTCCCAAAATTTCCTTTCCTATGTTTCTAGTTGCAGTGCACCACAACTGAGATTCCTGTGCAAGAAGGGAATAAGTGAAGCTGCCACCATTTGCAAGTTCACACCCAGTGTCACTGATCTACTGACTCACTTCACCATATAAGTGGCATCTGGGCCTGCACATTCTCCTGGATCACTTTCCTTTGGATCCTACTTGAGGCTCTCCAACTCCTGAGGAGTATATGTTTTTTTACTGACGAAGGGCCCTGGTTTCTGCAGGACTCCTATACTACCAGGGGCAGAGGAAACAGAAACAGACCTCGGTTTCAGTTCATCCTTGTAAGTTCCAGCTTTTCCCCATGGGTACTGGCTTGTTCTTGCTCTCCCATGTCACATCTATCTTCCTTTGACAATCGTCTGCTCTGTGGACTTTCAAGCTCCAGTATCAGATGTGCAGACAAAAGCCTTTCAGAGACTGCTTAACCAGCTACATTGCCTAAGGTCAAATTCCTGTAAAAAATTCTGTATTTTTATCTATGTCCTAATGGTTCCACTTCTTTGATTGAACCCTGACATATACATTCTGGTCAATGCAGCTTCAAAATTTGTGATTTCATGACTATAACTAGGATTAGGATTTCTGGTTCATAGGTAGGTACTCTTCAGAATGACTGCTTCCATTTATCCTCCCAGTGCCAAGAGAATTTAGGCAATAGTTCTTCTGCTGGTTAAGGTGAAACATACCTTTTTGTCTGAAATGGCTTGCTTTGTTTGGGCTGATGTAACAAAATACCATAGACTGGGTGGCTTATTAACAACAGAAATTCATTTCTCACAATTCTGCAGGCTGAGAAGTCCAATATCAAGACACCGGTACATCTGGTGTCTGGTGAGAGCCCACTTCCTGTTCACAGATGGCTTTTTGCTGTGTCCTTATATGGCAGAAAGGCAAAGGAAGCTCTCTGGAGTCTCTATTATATAAGGGCACTAAATCCCATTCATGAGGGTTCTGCCCTCATAACCTAATCACCTCCCAAAGGCCCCACCTCCAAATAACATCACATGGGGGATTAGATTTCAACTTATAAATTTTGAAAGGACACGTTCAGTCTATAGCACCCTTTTACCTTCAATAACTTCTCTAAGATTTTATGGACTAACAAGATTAAATTTATGGAATGTCCAGGTGTAACTGTAATTTGAGTCCCATATTAAGGCTATGAAAGTTTGCCAATGGTACATATCAATAGATATTCATGTTAATTCAGCAATTATATAGTAGAGGTGGAAGAGCCAAAGGTGCCCTTTTATCATTTGTTGTATAAATAACTTTAGTAAAGTTTTGTATTTCCACTTTGGTCAATCTGTGGACCTTTCCTCTCCCTGTACCTAAGTCTTCATCTTTCTATCCCTTCATTCTTCCATTCTTTTTTTTTGTGCTCACCAGATATACTTCAGGGGTTCTTCCTCCTCTTTCTGATCAGATTTACAAATCTCCAGAAGGATCATCAGGGTTAAAGGCCTGCTCCATGGCAATGGCTGCTTCATATGGCTTCATTAAGTTGCATCTGAATTCCACTTTTGCTGGGCCACAGGGTGCTGGTGCGGGATGAGGGGTCCCCTCTAACCATGATGATGAGGATTCATTTTGTTTATTTTAGGAACAGCAAAGGCATTGCTTTTGGTTGACTGAATATCTGCTCTGCCTTTCTCTCCTGCCATGCAGGTTTCCTTCTCTCCAATCTTCCTCTGTACAAATTTCCTCAGAACACTTTGGACAACTAGGAATGTAAAGTCCCAGCTTTCAACTTTGCCTCTATCCAAGCACCCAGGGAATAGACCTGCAGGGTGTTACAGAAGAAAGTACCAGAGCCCAGCAGTTGGCCTCCAAGGATGGGGATGCCAGTCAATCTCCCTGGGATCAAGGTCATTTTGTCTATGGCCTGAGTCAAGGCCAGCAGGCCCCACAATTGCCAAGATTAGTCCTTTGAGGTAAACAGCAGTGCCAGGCAAAACCCAGGTACACTGGCTAGGGGCTTTGTATTCAAAGAGCAGTTGAGATACCTCCTCTCTAATGTGGGAGTGGTTCCATTTTCCTTTCTCATCAGTGGGCCACAGCCCCCCTGACTGTGCTCCTCAGCACCCCTAGCATCAGGGGAGTATGTGCAGTGGCACCACAAGGAACAGCAGAGGGAGTGGGGAGGTTGTACCTGTGCCTGAATAATAACTCACAAGCAACTGGGCTGCCCAGGCTTAATTCTCCCCGGGGTGGCAGTCTCCTGCCTTTCCACAGACTTCACAAAGGACCACGACATGCCCATCCCAGAGGTACACAGAAACAAACAATGGTATATGTGGATACCCCAAGCAGCCATGGATGGTCACCAATCTAGCCAGACCCCTGGCAGATGGGACTCAAATGCTGAACAGTTGGGGCGTTGTGTTGTCACTGCCTTTACTGGTTGGAGCCTCAGCTGGCAAACAGACTGAATCCAATGGCAAGTCACCCAGGGTTACAGCCAATGAACCATTCTCCCTTAGGGACAAGAGCCTTTCAAAAAAAAAAAGAATGTAGTGCAGGTCCAAGTGCAAGTTTGCCAGCCATTGATAGTTCTGTCCCAAGTGTCATTTGCTGTATCACAGAACAAGTTAGCCAAAAGAAACTAGTTAATGCTGACTCAGTGAATTCGGTCATAGATCCCTTCTACATGACGACTGCGTTGCCTCCTATTCACTCTGTTGCTAGAGGAATGCCTGCCCTGGGCTTATCAAATGGTTGAACACATGACACCTGACACTGGAAAGACGAGTTCTACATAAGTTTATTAGTCACACACACTCAACAGACCAGGGGAGGACACCACATGCCAGGCAGGGCCACACAGGTTGTTACACATGCAAACAGAGGGACCAACTAGAGGTTTGGGAAAGTGGCTCTGTAGTATCAGGAGGATGCTGTGAGACCTGGGTCCTCAGAGAAAATGTGAATGGCTTGTTTGGAAAATTCTGCAGGCTGCCAGGGAAATACAATTTGCTAACCAGGGATAAGAAAGAACTACACCTACACCTGGTCCCCTTGATAAGGCAAGAGGATCATCTGACTACAGGACCTTACCTATAAGGAGAAGAAAGGAGAGGAAAGCTTACAGTTAGGCAATTAGAGGCCCTTTCAATGTCAAGAGATCCTATTATACCGGGCATTAGTTCTAGATCACAGTTAACTCTAATTTAAAACATTTCAAAGACTATAAAAACACTCAAATGTTTATCATTGATGATTATATCTGCAGTGCAGAGACATAAAAACTTTAGTACAGAAACAAGATATTACCAAAAGAGCTAGAAACTTAAAATTCCAAAAAAAAGATAATAACACTTACGAAAGCAGAAAGCTAGCACTTCAGTAGTGTCTTTGTATGAATTCTGAGAATGCATTTCCTCCCCCACCATGGAAAAACTGGTACTGAATGATGTGAGCTTTTAATTTAGTAAATACATAATAAAAAGGGTATCTTATAAATACATAAGAGGGTCCTCACAGATTCACCTATATTGCTGTATGCTGACATGATCATTTATTTAATATACTTTAGTTTTTAGAGTAGTTTTAGGGTTATAGAAAAATTGAGCAAAAAGTACAGAGTTCCTATATACCCCTTCACCTCTATCCCCTTCTAGTTTCCCCTATTATTATCATGCCTTAGTATGGTATGTTTGTTACAATTGATGAGCCAATACTGATTCATTACTATGAACTCAAGTCCATAGTTTACATTGGGGTTTACTCTTTGTGCTTTACATTTTAAGGGTTTTGACAAATGAATTACCTGTATCTATCATTAGTGTCCTACAGAGTAGGTTCACTGCCCTGATAAATCCTCTATAACTTATTTTCTTTCCCTAACTCACCCTGAACCCCTAGCAATCACTGATCTTTTTACTATCTCCATAGTTTTGCTTTTATCAGAACATATTATAGTTGGAATCAGAGTATAAAGCCTTTTCAAATGGTTTCCTTCATTTAGCAGTATGCATCTAAGGTTCCTCCAAATCTTTGATAGCTCATTTCTTCTTGGCACCCACCCAGGCATAATGCCCTGTAACCTAACTATAATTGCTAACTAGTGTTGGGAGCATTTTTCATTGCTGATTCTTTGTGGAGTTTTCTACATAAACAATCATGTTATCTGTGAACATAGTTATTCTATCTCTTCATCCAAAATTTATGTGCCTTTTATTTCTTTTACTTGTCTTACTGTGTTAGCTAGGACTTCCAGAAGGATACGGCAAAGGAGTGGTGAAAGAGGACTTACTTGCCTTGTTCCTGATCTTAATGAGAAAGCCATTAAGTCTGATATTAGCCATAGGGTTTTTATAGATGTTTTTTACCAAGTTAAGGAAGTTACCCTGTATTCCTAGTTTTCTGAGACTTTATCATGAATGGGTGTTAAGATTTTGTCAAATGCTCTACTCCATCTATGGATATGACCATATGATATTTCTTCCTTAGCTTGTTAATGTGATGGGTTACATGAGCTGATTATCAAAAATTGAACCAGCACTGTAAACCTGTAATAAACTCCATTAGCTCATCACATATGATTCTCTTTATACACTGTTGGATTCAGTTTGCTATTTTGTTCAGGTTTTCTACATCTATGTTCATGAGAGATATCTGTAGTGTTCCTTTCTTCTAATGTCTTTGCCTGGTTTTGCTACTATGATAATGTTGGTTTCCTGGAATGAGTTAAAAAGAATTTCATTTGCTTTTATTTCTTGGAAAAAACTGTAGACAATCAGTATAATTTCTTCCCTAAATGTTTTGTAGAATTCACCAGTGAACACATCTCTCCCTGACACTTTCTGATTTGGAAGACTATTGATTCAATTTCCTTAATAGATATATGCCTATTCATATTTCTCCTTGAGAGTTTTAGCAGATTGTATATTTCAAGGAATTGGTCCATTTCATCTTGATTATGAAATCTATGGCACAGAGCTGTCCATAATATTCCTTTATAACCCTTTTGATGTCCATGGGATCAGTAGTTTGGGCTCCCTTTTCTCTCTGATATTGGCATTTTGTGTTCTCATTTTCTTAGTTAACCTGGCTACAGGTTTATCAACTTCATTGACATTTTCAAAGACCCAGCTTTTGGTTTTATTTATTTTGTTTTATTTTCAGTTTCACTGGTATCTATGCTAATTATTATTATTATTATTATTATTATTATTAATTTTTAGGTACCTTGAATTTAATTTGCTTTAAGTTTCCTAAGATGGGCACTCAGTTTGTATAATTTAAGATCATTAATCTGTATGACCTTATTATTTATGTAATCTGATCATGTGATTTAATACGACACCTTTATTTACACTGTCAACAAAAAACCCACTCTAGCTCTCTTCTGGCCCTGTTTCAGCCTCAAACCTCCTTCTCACCTAGAAGACTCTAAGGGCCTAAGATCCCTCTTGGTACCTTGGACCCCAATTTACAGACTTGGGTGTCATCCAGTCTGTTTGTGGCTTCTTTTCTGGACCCTGTCTTGGAGGGCAATTGCTTACAGAGGGTTTGGACAAAATTTAGGCTGAAAGCTAGACAACTGACAGTAGTACATTCAAAGCGCCTCATGTTTTGGAATAAAGCATGGGTAAAAAACAGGAGGCAATGGGTTTAGGGTGTGGATATCCCCATGCATGGAATATGTTTTAATTAACATTCTGTTATTCTGATTTGTAAGTTTTAAGTGATTAGATATTATCTTTGTGGGCCTCACTTAAAACTGTTGCTCCAGGCCCTACACACCAACAGCAAAACTAGAAGTATCATTTCCTATTCACAATTGTATTAAGTTCCATTATGCATATGAAACATCCAGTTTATGCAACATGCCATTTATACACACATTAGTCCTGTAAACTAAAGGGATAGTTCACATATGCATTAAATGCTGTTGCCCAATTATTCAATCTGCCTCTGCTTTTAAAAAGCTTCATATTCAAAGGGCTGCCAGGATTAGGGTTGCAGAAAGGGTATGATTGTTAATGCACAGGAACCTCTTGTAGTGAAATCCTGATTCCTTTGTAATGATACAACACAGATTCCAAATTTCTTTCTGATTTTATAAACTGTTATTGATTACTAAAATATATGTGATAAAATTTCATAAAACTACACACACAAACATAAACTGCATATAAAAACTGGTGAAATCTGAGTAAGTATCTGACTTCATAGTAGAGTACCAATGATTCCTTGTACTTGATAACAAAGTACTGTTATGTCCCATATTATCATTAGAGGAAGCTTGGTGAAGGGCACCTAATAAATCCATGTACTATCATTGCAACTTATTGTGAGTTCTTTTCCATCTTCTTTTTTAGTTTGTCAGAGCTTATTGTATAGTACACATCTATAAATTATAATTTGTTACTTTTCCTAAAAATAACTATGGCATCAAAATGAAAAATACAAATTCTAAGGTCATATTCTAAAGAAAATGTTCAAGCTATATATCTCCATTGACAGATTTTTCCTCACTATAAATTCCAACATAACCTAGTTTTTTGCAAAAAACGTTTACAAAATCAAAAAATCGGTAAGATTTAATACCAGTATTGCTACCTGACATTCAATGTCATGTTACTTCTTAACAAAACCATCCTACATTTGTTGCAGTCTTTGGATTTGTCCTGTTACCATTGCTTTGGAGTAAAATAAGGCCAGTTTGTAGATGAAAGCCAGTGAACATTCAAGATATCAAAAGAGCTTTCTCCACAGGGTAAATTCTCTGAAGCAGTGAGTGCTGAACTGAGGTGACATTTCTAATAGTCACCTCAATTAGATTTTTCTTCTGTGTGTGTTCTCTGATGTACAATGAGGTTTGACTTCTGAGAGAAATATTTTCCACACATGTTACATTCATAGGGCTTCTCCCCTGTGTGTGATCTCTGATGTTTAGCAAGATCTGATTTACGGTAAAAAATTTTCCCACATTCATGACATTGACAAGATTTCTCCCCTGTGTGAGCCCTATTATGCACTGTGAGGGATGACTTGTGGCTAAAGGCTTTCCCACATTCAACACATTCATAGGGTTTCTCCCCTGTGTGTTTTCTGTGATGTAAAATAAGTCCTGACTTCACACAGAAAGATTTTCCACATTCATTACATTTATAGGGCTTTTCTTCTGTATGAGTTCTCTGGTGTACAATTAGAGCTGATTTATGGCAGAAAGCCTTTCCACATTCATGACATTCATAAGGTTTCTCCCCTATGTGAGTTCTCTGGTGCTGAGTGAGCTGTGACTTCTGGCAGAAGGTTTTCCCACACTCATTGCATTCATAGGGTTTCTCCCCTGTATGTGTTCTGTTATGTTTAGTTAGGTATGACTTGTTATAAAAAATTTTTCCACACTCTTGACATTCATAGGGTTTTTCCCCTGTATGTGTTCTGTAATGTTGAGAAAGAGTAGACTTATGGCTGAAGAATTTCCCACATTCAGGACATGAAAAGGGTTTTTCCCCTGTGTGAGTTCTCTGATGTACTGTGAGGTCAGACTTTAAGCAGAAGGTTTTCCCACATTCATAACATTCATAAGGTTTTAACCCTGTATGAATTATCTGATGTCTAGTGAGTACAGACTTGCAATAGAAAGTTTTTCCACATATAGTACATTCATAGGGTTTATCCCCTATGTGAATTCTCCGATGTTGTGTAAGATGTGACTTCTGGCGGAAAGATTTCCCACACTCAGGACATTCAAAGGGTTTCTCTCCTGTATGAGTTCTCTGATGTACTGTAAGGTGTGAATTCATACAAAAGGTTTTCCCACATTCATAACATTCATAAGGTTTCAGCCCTGTGTGTGTTCTCTGATGTTTAGTGAGATCTGACTTCTGGTAAAATGTTTTCCCACATGCATTACATTGATAGGGTTTCTCCCCTGTATGTGTTCTTTGGTGTAATGTTAGGGCTGACTTGTGGCTGAAGGCTTTCCTGCATTCCTTGCACTCATACAGTTTCTCTCCTGCGTGTGAACTCTGATGTTCAGTGAGGTTTGACTTCTCCCAGAAAATTTCTCCACATTCATTACATTGAAAACACTTCTCTTCTGTGTGTATCCTCTGATGTCGAATGAGGTGTGACTTCTCCCAAAAAGCTTTCCCACATCCATTACATTCAAAGTGTCTCTCTCCTTTATGAGTTTTCTTAAGTTCTGAGAGGTATAACTTCCTCCTGAAATAATTCTCACTTTCATTACATTCATAATGTTTAATATGATGTTCCAAAAGGGTAGAGTTCACACAAAAGGATTTCTCACAATCACTAAATCTATAGTGATTTTCCTTTGAGGAATTTATCTGATGCAACAAGGATGAGTTATCACAGAAAGTTCTCCCATATTCATTATATGCACAGTCGTTCCCTTCTGTGATGTCTTTCTTTTGTGTATTAAATAGTGCCTTTTCAAGGAAGGTTTCTTGATGTATGTTATACTCAAAATTTTGCTCTAAAGTTTTTATCTTCTTATGCTGAATAGGGTCATTATGACAGAAAGTTTTCCCATATTTAAAAAATTCACCTTTCTCTCTAGTCTGAGTTTTCTCATGTTTAATACTGAGTAGCAATTGTCCACAAGCATTAAATTCATCAGTCTTTTCTCCTGAAGAATTTTTCTTATTGATAACCAATTCTGAAATGTAGTTGAAACTCACTCCACAGGAGTCACACTGACAGAGTATTTTCCTAGAAGGAAAAGAATCTGTGCCCAAGTTAAATGGTTTCCCTATTACATTACCTTGTTCTTTAGTCAGCATTTTGTTATTGATGAAAACAAATTCCCACACAGGTTTATTCTGGTTTTCCTGGTTCCTTCCTTTGATGTGATCAATTTTCCAGACTTCTAGAAATAAGAGAAGTTAATCTTACCTTGTAAATATTAACACATTTCTTATAAAAGGTGCTCTACATGCATATGCCCTGTATTGTAGCTGACTTTGATTTCCTGCCTAGTCTCCAGGGCTGTAAATAACTGTAAACACACAGATTTTTATTCTCTTGATTTTGAATTGGAAAAATAAAAAGAAACCTGGTTTAGTGAGGAAAAGGAGAGAAAAGTTAGAACATATATATTTGGTTTCCAATGTCTAAGGAATAATAGCAAATTCTTAAATATGAATGTGTCTATGTATCCTCCAAAAAACTGTAAGGGTTGATAAAAGGAGAGGAAATACAATTACCTACACCAACCCATGACTTCGGCATAACTATGAGATACAGAATACTACACTTCAAATCCCTACTAAGCAGGGAAGTAAATACTCAAATATAGAAGAAACTAATATAGAGCCCAAGTCTGTGAAAAGACTCAGCTAGTGACTGTGGCAACCACATGTGAAGGAAGATACAGAGAACTCAGAGATTATTAAATACAAATAAAATGACTCCCAGAAAGGGAAAGTCCCACTGTGAGTGAGATGATGGTTCAGACTACTGGGTAATACAAAAGAAGAGACTTATACTACAGGGGAGCCAAGGAGGCAAAGGATATCAAAAAGTGAGAATAAAATTATGAAAAGAACAAAGTGATCCTAGAATGAGGACTTAAAATTACAAGGAGCCTGTTATGAACTGAATTGTGTCCCTTCCAAATTCATATGTGGAAGCAGGCCTAACCCCAATGTGACTGCATTTGGAGATGAGGCCTACAGGGAGGTAATTAAGCTTAAATTAGGTCATAAAGGTGAGCCCTAATCTGATAGGAATGGTATCCTTATCAGAAAAAAGAGACAGCAGAGCTTGCTTGCTCTCCAAACATGCACAGAGGAAAGGCCAAATGAAGAAACAGCAAGAAGGTACTGTCCACAAGCTGAAGAGAGCTCACCAGAAACTAGCCCTGCTGGCACCTTGGACACAGAGACTGTATGTGTGAAAAAATTAATTTCTCCTGTTTAAAACATGCTATCTGTGATATTTTGTTATAACAACCCAAGCAGACCAACAGGGCCCAAAGGGAAAATAGACAACTTAAATTTTAATAAGTAGCATTGAAAAAACAGGTATGAAAGCAGAAAAAAGAAAGGTTAAAGAAAGAAAATGGGATCAGAAATAAAGTTCTGGAGAAGAAAGGTGGCCTGTTAAAAAAAAAAACAAATAAATAAATTTTAATTTAGTTATATATATTTATGATTATGATCTCTAAAGATAAAAAAGTAATCTTGTATAAAAACCATAACTAATAAAATTGTCCAGAAATAAAAAAGATTTGATCCATTATATTAAAAAACTGACATGCAGCAGTTAAGACATACCTTAAAGATGAAAAAGTCTTCTGAGCAAAAAAGATGAAGTCTCAACGAACAAAAATAAGGTTATAGCACTTATTTTTTCACCAATAAAGCAAGCCTAAGCACAGCAAAATTTTCAAGAAAAGGAAAATTATAAACGCTATTGGAAAAGGTATAAAATAGGTTTAAATATACAAGTAATACGGTGATACTATAATCATAAAACCTTCTAGAGGACAAACTTTAAGCAACCAAGGTTTGGACAGGAAAAACTGGCAGGAATCTGAGCAGTGCATATATTTACTGGATATCTAAGATCAAAACAAAGGTGAGAACAAGAATAGAATAATAATACATAAATGTTGTATTTTATGGTGAAGCAGAAAAAATGAAACAAAAAAAGCTGTAAGACACCACTCAATTTTATCAGACATTTGGAAAACACATAATACCCATTCTCCTTACAGTTTTCTAAAAAACAGAAGAGGAGGGAATACCCCAAACTCATTCTATGAATGCAGCATCACTCTAATACCAAAACCAGGCAAAGACACCACAAAGAAAGAAAACTACAGCCCAATATCCCTGATGAACATAGATGCAAAAATACTCAACAAAATATTAGCAAACCGAATTCAAAAATACATCAAGAGGATCATACAACATGATCAAGTGGGATTTACCCCAGGGATGGAAGGATGGTACAACATTTGAAAATCCATCAACATCATCCACCACATCAACAACAAAAAAAAAAGGACAAAAACCTCATGATCACCTCCATGGATGGTGAAAAACCATTCGACAAAATTCAACATCCATTCATGATAAAAACTCTCAACAAAATGGGTATGAGGGCAATTACCTCAACATAATAAAGGCCATATATGACAAACCCACAGCCAACATTGTACTTAACAGTGAGAAGCTGAAAGCTTTTCCCATAAGAAGGGGAACAAGACAAGGATGCCCACTCCCCCCACTTTTATTCAACATAGTACTGGAGGTCGTAGCCACAGCAATCAGACAATGCAAAGAAATAAAAGGCATCCAGATTGGTAAGGAAGAAGCCAAACTGTCACTGTTTGCAGATGACATGATATTGTACATAAAAAATCCTAAAGACTGCACTCCAAAACTATAAGAACTAATATCTGAATTCAGCAAAGTTGCAGGATACAAAAATACACAGAAATCTGTGGCATTCCTATACACTAACGATGAATTAGCAGAAGGAGAAATCAGGAAAACAATTCCACTCACAATTGAATCAAAAAGAATAAAATACCCAGAAATAAACCTAACCAATGCAGCAAGATCATGTTTTACAAAATGTATAAATCCAAACACATGCCATCTACAAGAGACACACTTTAAAAGAAGAAACAAGGTGAAAATTTTTTAAATAGGAAAAGATATTACCAAATACACAATATCCATAAGGAGGCTGGAGCAGCTACACTAATAGAAAAAAATACACTTTAATACAAGAAATGTTAGTAAAGATAAAGAGGAGCACTATAAAAGAAGATATAAATCTAAGTATACATACTGCTAACAACAGTCTCAAAGTGTAACATATACCAGATGGACTTACATTTACAGAACATTAAATCCAAAGTAATCAGAATACACATTCTTCTCAAATGCACAAGTGACACTTTCAAGGACAGATCATATGTTAGGTCACAAAATACATCTTAGAAAATTTAAGACTGAAATCATACCAAGTTTCTTTTCCAACCACAATGGTAAGAAACTGAAAATCAATTACAAAAAGCTAGAAAATTCACAAATATGTAGAGATTAAACAACACACTCTGAATACCCAATGAGTCAATGGAGTAATTTAAAAAAATAGCCTGAGACAAATGAAAATGAAAATCTAACACATAGCAAAACTAATGGAATACAGTAAAATCAGTTCTAAGAAGGATGGTCACTGTGATAAATGCTTACAATCAAAAAACAAGAAAATTTCAACCTCACTTTACAACCTCAAGGAATGAAAAAGGAAAAAATGAATCCCACATTAATAGAAGGAAGAAATATCAAAAATAAAAATGGAAATAAATGAAAAAGGAACTAAAAAGGTGACAGAATAGATCAAAAAAACTAAGAACTGGTTCTTTGAAAAGATAAAATTAACAGACCTTTAATCAGACTCACCAAGAAAAATAGAGGACTCAAAAAAAATCAACAATGGAGATATTATAACAGATACCACAGAAATACAAAGGATCATAAAGACTACTATGAACAATTATGCCATAACAAATTTGACAATCTGGAAAATGGATAATCTCTACAAACACACAACCTACCATGACTGAATCTTTAGCAAACAGAAAATCCAAACAAACCAATTATTAATTAAGACTGATCAGTAGTCAGAAACCTCCTGCCAAACAAAATCCAGAACCTGAGAGTTTCACTGGTGAATTCTACCAAACATATAAAGTAATTTATGAAAAAGGAGCCAAGGACATACAATGGGGAAAGGAGTCTCTTCAATAAATGGTGTTAAGGAAACTGAACCATTATCTTCCACTATACACGAAAACAAACTTGAAAATAAAACTTGAGAGTAAACCCTGAAACCAAAACTACTAGAAAACATAGGCAATAAACTTCTTCACTTTGGTCTTGGTGATTTTTTGGATTTGACACCAAAAGCAAAGGCAACAAAGAAAAAATAAACAAATGGAACTACATCAAATGGATAGGAGAAAATATTTGTAACCATATGTCTGATAAAGAGATTAATATCCAAAATATATAAAGAACTCAACAGTCAAGAAACACAAAGCAACCTAATTAAAAAATGGGCAGGGGATCTGAAAAGATATTTTTCCAAAGGAGACATAAATGTTCAATAGGTACATGAAAAGGGGCTCAACATCACTGATCATCAGGGAAATGTGAATCAAAATCATGAAATGTCACTTCATACCACGTTAGAATGGCTTGTAACAAAAAGGCAAGAAATAATATGGATTGGCCAGGATATAGACAAAAGAGTATCCTTGTGCACAGTCGGTGAGAATGTAAACTGGTGTAACCAGTATGGAAAACTGTATGTGGTTACTCAAAAATGTTAAAAATAGAACTGCCACATGGTATTTTGGGTATTTATCCCATGTCCAGCAATGGATGAATGTAAATAGAAAATGTGGTGTGTGTATGTAGACAATGAAATATTCAGCCATAAAAAGGAAATAAATCTTGCCATTTGGGACAACATAAAGGTACCACGAGGGTATTATGCTACATGAAATAAGTCAGAGAAAGGCAAATACTGTATAATCTCATTTATATGTCTTGTTAAGATATATATCTTAAACAAGATTATATATCTTAAACAAAATTTAAAAAATCCTGAACAAGACAAAAAAACTCACAAGTTCATAGACATAGAGAACACTGGTGTAATTTTCGACATAGAGGCATGAATGCCAGAGGCATGAACCCCTTACAAGAATGGGTTAAGGGGATCAAACAATATAAATGTACAGTGTGATGACTATAGTTAACAATACTATACTGCACATTTAAAAGTTACTGAGAAATGGATCTTAGAAGTTAGTATCATAAGCAAAAAAAAAAATCTGTCATT